TGCCGTGAGAGCCCGGGTGGGAGGGGACGGCCGCTGGCTCTGCGCACTGCCGGGGGGGGTATTTTCCCCGAACTAAGCAAGAAAGTTACTCAGGGACAGGTGGCGTTTGGTTTGGTTTGATGGCGTTGTATTTTTTATGATGTGCGTCCTGTATTCAGAGAAAGGAGTGTTCCTCCCGCCGCGTCCAGCTGGTGTCACCGTGGGCTCGCAGCGAGCTCGGCCTTCCCCAAAACTCACCGGTGAAGATGAGGATTTCGTACAGGGAGTTTAAGTTTGCTGGCACGGTTCGACATCTGTTGGTTCTCTCTCACAGGCTCTTTAGGAGTAGACACAGCGGTTATGGGCTGCGAACTGCAGAGGCAGAGTCAGCTTCTAGCAACGTGCAGTATTTCTGTGGGAAGACTTGGCGTGCAGCTGAGGAAGCCGCGCTGCGTAGGGCATGGAATAACTTACAGTCTGGTATTTGTTGTGGAAAGGAAGGATAAAACAGGCACTCTGTCAGAGTAAAGGAAAATATGTTCATAGTTCATTTTCCCCCAAACTTGTCCTTGTTTACAAATGAGCTGATTTTCTGTTTCTAGAAGGTTTGCTGTACTAAGACTCATGTTCTTTTACCACGCTGTGACTCTAACTTCCAGGTTTTGATGTAGCTGATGTGTTACAGTCCTGAGCAAACTAGAAATCAAACCTAATGTGGAGTCAAGAAAAGTCATATGCAGTAGTTAGAGCCAATTACAGCATTAGGTTGCCAAAAAGTTTTCCCCATATATACATTGTCACACTGAAAATCATCTGTCTTGTTCTTTTATGTTATTAATGGGTGAGCAAATTTTTATGTGTAACAAAAAGTAGAAATAACTTGTAGATTTAGAAGTTTCATTGTTAATGAAGCCAGCTGAGGTTTTATAAAATCATCAGACCTATGCTTCTTAAATAAATTCACTGGGGTATGAAATACTTTAAAACTTGAATTTACGTAGCTAAGGAAATTTGAGTGTATAAAATGGCTCTAACACATTAGCTAGCTGTTGGAACCGTTAATAATTACTTTGAGTGCAGTAATGTTGGTGGAGTCTCTCAGTGTGGTCAGCGACCTTGCAGAAACAGAAAGGAATAAATGTGGCTGCAACTTTTGAATTTCTAGCAGTACCAAAACATAATGAAAACCTAAGGACCATAGCCACAAAGCAGAGTGGTAGGGATGCTGGCAAATTGATTTTTACAGGATGCAGCAATGAGCAGGCTAATTAAGTAGGGCTGGTAGTACTGATGCAGAAGTGGCCACGGAGAAATAATGAACCAGAGTGAAATGTTTTTCTGTCATGTGGAAGGCTGGTGGTTCTGCTGCGCTGAGGCTGGCTGTGCACGAGGGAGGCACCTGGGTTCGCAGGGTCATTAACTTGGGGGCGAGGAGGAAGTACAGCGGTCCAAGGAAAAAAGATTGTTTACAAGGAGGAGAGAAGAAGGTTGGGAGTCTGGCAAGCGTCGCAGGTGTAGAGTGGTGGCAATTGCAGCAAGGCTCGCATGTGAGAAAAGGTCGAAACGGCACCTGTGACAGGGGTGTATCTTGCACCGTGCCCTGGGGGTGAAACCCTGGCTTGGCCTGGGTCTTGTTTTCACTTCCTCTCAGAAGTTGGCTGGACTGCTGTGGCTGAGAAAGGAATGCTTAATCTCCTCTCCCTGGGGAGTAAGTGGAACATAATGTCAGAGCAAGCTTGAACTTCTCCCCCATATTAGCTGTGTTACAAGCTGTCTTGTCACTTGAATAGCCACATTGTAAATGTACTTTTTAAAGACTTAATTGCAGGGTGAACAGCTCTTCTTCATTCCCGCCTGTGTATTAGACATGTATACTTGCCCAGTGATGCCTTACATGATAATTGGAGTACGATTGATTTTGGCCTGGGAGTGGTATGCCAGCCGTGAGCTGTCAGTGACACCTTTCTGTACTGCTGGTTTGGAAATATCTGTAAAGGAGAGGTATGGAAATACTGACAGAACTGTAACAGAGTACTAGAAATATTATAATTAGGCAGCCAAAGCTTGTCTGAAAGATTTTTCACCCAAATGCTAATTAACCCATGAAGCAAGTAAGCAAGGGCAATCATTGAATCATGGGACAATAGTAAGTTAAAGAGACTATTCATGTATAAAGAAAAGGAGCTGGAGATCAAGAAAATAAAAGGAATAAGCATGCGGATTTCACTGGACTCTTTTCTTTGCTGTATATCACTAGATATCAGAGCTTCTCCTTGGAGTAGCACAGCCATAAATTAAAGTAATTCTTAATATTTCTTTAATGAATCTGTTTTTTTTGGGGGGTACATAGTATCTGTAGAAGAGCTGGCTGCTTGGTGCTGCTGAAATTCTTGCTAATGAGTGAGGTCTCCGAGCAGAAATGGAATTCTTTGAAAGTTTGGTTTAGTTTTTGTGGAAAAGATGTGTATTATAGGGGGGAATGCTGTTTGGTTTTGTTAGGAGTCTGATTAAAGAAACCCTTGTGTATCCACTGGCTTACTCATTCAGCTAAGGCTTAGCGTGTGCTATAAACATTCTCGGGATCCTGGATGAAACGGAAAGAATTAGCTTCTCTGCATGTTTCAAAGACTGAAAAAGAAATCAAGAAGTTGTGGATAGAATGCAGAGAAAGCCTTTTCAAGTATATTTTTCTAGATTTTACTTGGATCTCTTTCTGCCTTGGTACTTAGTTATTGCTACTGCTGAAGGAAGGTGTAGCTGTGGTGGCAGTTGTTTTAGGAAGTGTCTGTCCTGTGGATTTTTGTGAAGTCATATTTTCATTTCCCTGTTTAACCATTACTACTACTCCATACAATTAAAAGGAATTGATTTCTTATATTGATGTGTTGTCAGAAATAGTAGAAAGCATTTATAACTCTTAAGTCTCTTTTGAAATTGTCATCTGGCGCTAGTCAGGGAAGTTTTAATCCCCCTTTTTTACTTTCCTACACTGTGAAACATGCTTTAAAATCCTTTTTAAAATATAAATTTATATTTCAGCAATTAAAACTAGGATGAACTGTCTGGTTTATGAAAGAGCAGCCTCCTTAAATTGTGATTGATAAATTAATGTATGTTACTGTTAGCTCCTAGTGGCAGTGTTTTATTCAAATACTTTTATTTATGTTCTTTTCTGGAATCAAGGCGAGGGGGGTTTTTGGTTTTTGTTTTTTTAATTAGAGATGGAGGCCATAGTTCTCACAGTTCTCACTATCAGATTCAAAATAAAACCTGAAATACATATATTTTTGTGATTTATTTCACTTAATGACATACTTAATTTTCATAGGCGAGGCAAGGCTTTTGTACAAGGACTTATCCACAGTGCAAGCATATGAGTGCTGATAAGTTGGGGTTTTTTCCTTATAATTTGACTTTTCCAACTTTTATTATGAATACTGTGAATAGATAGAAATAGATTTCTCAGGGAAGAGCTCTGCAGCTGCACAAGTTAATCTGTGCAGTCCCTCACTATATCGGTGCATGATCACTTTGATTTCTTGCCTTGTGTTTTCATACTTACCTTTTTCCTTCACTCTGCTATTCAGTTTAAAAGAGGCATTTAATAATCTCCATCACCCTGTCACACATACAAATGCCTGGTTAAATTCCCTTTTGATGTCCAGCGGAATGAGAGAGAATCCAGCTGTAGAGGCAGAATACAGTTGAATGGCTGAAAGTAAAATTTCTTCAGTTTTATGTATCTCAGTAGAGAGAGACATTCTAGTCTTTACATTGACTTATTCTTCAACATGCATTTCTTTTTGTAAATATGCTTGCATCTATATAGACATAGAATATGTTTATCTGTTTGTAAATATGTGATTATTTATATGCATATATACTTTCCCTTTACTGCTTTTTAAGGCATGCAAGATCAAGAAACTATGTTTCAGAATCTGAAGTGTGCAAACTGGAATCTGTACCCTTGGATTTTGGTGATTACCATCCACTAAAACCCATTACAGTGAGTTACTTCTTGTGCTTTTGGAAAATGAATGTACATTAAAACTGATTATGTTCCTCTTTTTACTTCAGTTCCCTTAAAATTAAAAGGCTTTGAAGTTGGTGGTACTAGTGAAGTTGCTTTCTGTGTTAGTGACCTGTTCTTTTTAGAGGCATCCAGGTTTATTCTGTTTGTCCTTTACAGAAACTTGCTGGTGCTGTTATGTGTCAGAAACAATCTCCTCCTGACAAATATAGCATTCTAACTTGTGGGTTCTCTTGGTTGCATTAAATGTTGAATAATAGATAAGTTTAAAAACAAATTGTTGCATTACAAATAACCTGCGTAATTGCTTGATGTAAGATTTGTTTTTGGGTTAACTTCCAGTCAGCTGTATGCTTTAAAACATTTATCATTTCTTTAATGTATGAGAGGCTTTTAAAAATGTGGATGTACAAAAAAATCCAGGATCAAAGAGATGATAGTCATATACTAATGAATGATAAATGGACAGCAGCTTTTGCTCAGGAAGGTCAGTAGGGAGATAAGACAGAGGCCGTAAGTATGGATTTGGTGTTCCAGGCTTGAGTATTGTACAAGAAAAGTAAAAATGAGACTGGTAGAGGAAATCAAACAGCAAGAAAAAGCATGGAGGAGAGAGAGAAAAACAGTAAAATAGAGGAGGGGTACTAAAATGAAATTTCGAGTGGTTGTTCTTACAGTTCTCTTGATCTAGAATTGGAAGGTTAAAAAAAAAAGGTAATGGAAATGCTGTTGAAGAGTGCCTCCAGGTTCAGGGGAAAAGTAGGGGCTTCAATTTAAATGCTGAGCCTCATTCTAAAGAGTTCCTTTCATTGGTTCTTGCTTTCATTGCAACAGCACAATTTATGTAGCACATATTTTGATGATTTATTAAAGAAAGTAGGGGGAAGAGAAAGCCTTTTGGTTTACTAGTTTTGAACTTAACTTTTAGGTTACTGAATCCAAGACCAAGAAAATGAACCGAAAAGGAAGTACTTCTTCTACCTCCTCCTCCTCTTCTAGTTCTGTGATGGATCCATTGAGCAGTGTATTGGATGGTACCGATCCCTTGTCATTATTTGCAGCAGCTGCAGATCCTGTGACTACTACTGCTACCATGGTAACACTGGAGGGGGGTTATCTTAACTAAATAAAATAAGTTTTAAAAACAGTCCAACAAAAAACCCCACAAAAATTAAACTACAAAGCCAGCCCCAGATAAAATATATTTGTCTCGTGAACTAGAGGTTAATGCAAATAGGAAACATACTGTATTAATATAATAATGTATTCTTTTTTATTTACCTATATTTATCTGGCTTATGTTGGCATTTATTTAAATAGGATTGGTTTGGTTTTTTTTTTTATATGGTAAGTTTTGTAATGATCAGTTAGCACTTGAACCATTAAGTTGACCTTTATCAGCCTTCTCTTTTTTTCCAGATTTGTATTTAACATTTGCGCTCGTACTCTCCTCATAGGATAGTACACGAAAGAAACGGGATAAAGATGACAGCTCAGCAGTAGGAAGTGACTTTGAACCATGGTCAAGCAAACGTGGTGAAATCCTTGCTAGATACACGACAACAGAGAAGCTCTCTATTGTAAGTGACAGCTTCTCTGGCTTTACTTATTTGTACTGGAACTTTACTGGATTTTGGATGTTGCTGTTTTGTAATTATTTCATGAGTAAATACTGGTCCTCTAAATTTTAGTTTCAGTGTTGTAGAAAGCTGTACCACAAGGTACACTCACTTACAATGGTTGCTTTGGAGCCGAGTCCAAAAGTCCGTTGATACTTGGAAGCCATTGCTTTGTCTTTTTGTAATAATACAAAAAAAATTCTGGTTTTATGTCTACTTCTAAGCGATTAGAGGCTTAATTAGCAGTGTAGTTACCCTGTGCGTTCTTGGAATGCTAGCGAGTACATGTTTTCTAAAAGCCTTTTTCTGTTTCTTCACAGAATCTGTACATGGGATCTGAGAAAGGTAAGCAGTTTCTTTAACAGCAACAGATTTTGCTTGAGCTAGGGTGCAGTGACAGGTTTGTGGTCAAGAATAGGAATAGTTGAAATGTGTTTTCCTGTCCTCCCCTATTCTGACATACAGTTGGATGTATGGTTTTCTGCTGGATTTTTACTTAATTAATGAAAACAAACTACTCAACCACCTTGTCTTGTATTCCTGTAGGCTAATGAATTTGTGATTGTGTGTTGTGAAAGGAAATGGAATTCACTGCCTTGCACTAGCTTAAAATTTTCTTCCATTTAAAGTGAACAATAATGTTTTGAGGATCAGGTTCATCAACTCTTCTGCTTGCTGGAAGGGAAAGCAAACAAGTCCCTTGGGAACTGTCTCAGTTATTCTCTTTACATGAGAGTGAAATGATTTCAACTGTATGCTGAACATTCAAAAAAGAACCCAATGTTAAATATTTTATCATGTTTTCTAGTGAAGCAAATCTGTGCTAAGTATATATGAGTGTATCTGTGCTAAGTATTTATATATGAATAAACATGCAGCATTTCAGCTTCTGCAAAAAAATTAAATACTCTTTTGGAATGAGAATGGTCAAACATTGAAACAGGATGTCCAGGGAGAGTGTGACATCTCCATCCTTAGGTATCGTTAAACTGGATATAACCCTGTGCAACCTCTTACAACTTGAAAATTGGACCTGCTTTGAGGAGGAGAATTGGACACAGACCTCCACAGGGCTTTTCTAACCTAAATTATCCTATGGTTCTATCCAGTGGTTCTTTCCTTACCAGCAAAACTTGCAAGATAATCCATTTATATTAAGTTTTGCTTACTTGTCCTTCCCTGTTCAAAGTGAATGAACTGTAGGTGCATTTTAAATGTGTGTCTTTGGGAATAGCCACCAAATGAATCAAACCCCGTTTCTTCTGTCATGGAAGCTGACTAGTTGTCTGAGTCTGTCAAGCTCCTTCAATTTTGTTTCCCTTTAGAAGTTCCAAGTGTTAAAATGTTAAAGAAACTCAAACATATAATTCTTTACAGGAAAAGCTACAACTACTGGCTCAGCAGTGTCTGAAAAAGTGAGGACAAGGTTAGAAGAACTGGATGATCTGGAAGAGGTGAGGTTTCTAATCCAATTACATCGTAATTTTAAAGGTGAAATAAATTTCACAGAATGGTTTGGATTGGAAGGGACCTCAAAGCCCATGTAGTTCCAATCCCTCCACCATGTGCAGGGACACCCTCCACTAGCCCAGGTTGCCCAAAGTCCCATCCAGCCTGGCCTTGAACACTGCCAGGGATGGGGCCTCCACGACCTCGCTGGGCAACCTGTGCCAGTGTCTCACCACCCTCACAGGGAAGAATTTCTTCCTTATATCTAATCTCAATCTCCCCTCCTTCAGCTTCAGGCCATTCCCCTTGTCTTGTCACTCCCTGCCCTTGTCACCAGTCCCTCTCCAGCTTTCCTGTAGCCCCTTTGGACTCTCTCCAACAGCTCCGTGTCCTTCTTATTCTGAGGAGCCCAGAGCTAGATGCAGTCTTCTGGGGAGGCAGGTCTCACCAGAGCGGGGTAGAGGGGCAGAATCCCCTCCCTCAACCTGCTGGTCATGCTGCTGGTGACACAGCCCAGGACACGGTTGGCTTTCTGGGCTGCAAGTGCACATCGCCGGCTCATGTTGAGCTTCTCATCCCCCCCCAACGCCCCCAAGTCCTTTCCCTCGGGGCTGCTCTCTATCCAATCTCCACCCAGCCTGTAGTTGTGTTTGGGATTGCCCCGACGCATGTGCAGGACTTTGCACTTGGCCTTGCTGAACTTCACGAGGTTCTCGGGGCCCAGCTCTCCAGCCTGTCAAGGTCCCTCTGGATGGCAGATCTCAAATTTGTGATTTCAGATTTTCAAATTTGTGAAATAAAAATCTTCTATGAAGCCTTTTGAAAAGGTCCTGATTCTGCATGTGCTTATGCAGTATTTAGATAAATATATACTTTCCATGGGACTTCTCTAGTAATTTCAATCCTTATTGTTACTGTAACAGGGAGAATTCAGGGAGAATCATATTTTTGTATTGCTAGAAATTGTGATTCGAAAATTCAGCTGATGTACCGATGTTGATTTGCCTTGGTACTGTGTATGGTTTGTAGCTGCTATAAAAGTTCATGGACCCCCAGAGTCTTAACATCGATAATTTTGTTTCTCCCTGTTGCAGAAACTGCATACTGTCTACCTGAGCTTAATTAAAGTTACATTTACATGCTTGATAGAAATACTGAGTACTCGGTTCTCAAACTGCAGTATTTTACTGTGCAAAGATGAGGTGTTCTGTAACTTACTTCCCCAAGACCTGAATCTGTGGGGCATCTCTGGAATTGTTTTGGGTAATGTTGTTTTGAAACCTCTGCCTTTTAACTAACAGCGGGTTGCCTGAGCCTGCACAATTCCAGTAGTGGCATATCACAAATAAAGGATTGGAGTCTTTTAGTAGAAAAATAAAGTACCTTTTATCATAAGGAAATATGTAACCTTTTGTGACACTGTAATTGCATTTTATCTCCTCATCTGTGAGTGTTTTTACTGATGGTTGCTTCTAGACTCTCAGATATTATGAAATTTGTTCTGTAATGCAGCTTATGAAACTCATCAAAACTAGTCCTGAAGGCAGTTTTTAATGTCACTCATACTTCTACTGAAGACTGTTCCAGAACCACCTTCTGATTTTTCTAAACACGTTTTATAGTCCCTTTGTTCCTGTGTCAGTTTGGTTCTAAAACTTAAACAATTATTTCTGCTTCCAGTGTTACACTAGTTTATTTTTGATAGTAATCTTTTTATAAGGTCTGTAAGATCTTCTGGAAGAAAGGTGACAAGAATGCTCCAGTACTGAGCATGAAGTGAAGATGGTTTTATTTTCTCACTGAGGATGAAGCGCAGTTGGATTTTTCTTACTGTCAACAAATTTCTTAGAACCTTGCTGGCAAAACATTCCATTTCTCTCTGCTGCTGCCTCTACATAGGTGCTAGCATGCTTATGTATAGTGTTAGTGCACTAATTATACCATGAGTAGAATACCACTGAAATAGTCTGGCATATCTGACCTCACGGACAACTTTGGGTACCAGCATGTTTCTCTCTTGAAAACCAAAGCAGTTGTGATGCACTTCTGTGCCAAACACCTGCAATATTGATGCTGCAAAGGTAAGAAGGAAAATTAGGTAATTCTGTAATAAGTTTTGTAGGTTGTTCCCCCCCCCACAGTGATTTGACTCTCTAATAATGACACTCTCCTTCCTTCCCCCCCACTCTTATTAAGTAGACTTGTGTTTTCTTGCCAGGGGTCACAGAAAGAGCTGTTGAATTTGACTCAGCAGGATTACATGAACAGAATTGAAGAACTGAACCAGTCTTTGAAGGACGCTTGGTCCTCTGATCAGAAAGTAAAAGCTCTGAAAATAGTCATCCAGGTCAGTTTTACATTTTTGGTCTGCACAGAACTGCTGAGTTTGGTGGTGTGGCTCATTCGGTTTCTTTCTTGGAGAAAGAAGGGTTTCTGTTATTTTTCTTCTATTTTCTTCCGTTCTTCACTGAAACCTTTTTCTTTCAGAGTTTTATGACTTCTGACGACAGTTGGATTTTCAGCTTTGTTTTTGACTAGGGTGTGTGGGATGGAATTCTTATTAAAGAGAGCGGCCACATGACAGATGTGGAAATTTTACCTGCTTAGGGATAATTAAAAAAATAACACGTAGTGATATCAGCTCTTTCTAGGACATGTACTTTCCTTTCTTCTCCCTGCTCTACCGCCTTACCTCCCACCCCAAATAATACCAGAATGGCTTTCTGAATGTCAGTGTTTTCCCCATCCAGACTTACTAAGGCAACTGAATAATCTGATTTAGGACCTTAGCAAAGTACAAAAAACAACTCCAGATTTTTTAAGTGCTTGGGTTGGTTGGTTTGTTTGTTTTTTCAACTTCTCTACAATCTTCCTCTGGCTTATTTAGGGTGATGGGCTGTGAGGGGGGCAGAGGGGAGTAGGACAATTGAATGCTTTTTTGTTTTGCTTGGCATTTAAAAAAAGGCCAGAGGCAGAGTGCATCAGAGGACAGAGGAGATAATGACATCCTTAAAAGCTGTAAAACTGATGTAATGCTAATAGTCATCAAGCAGGGTTATATAAAGTCAGGATTGTTTTTTTTTCTCATGCTAGATACTCTAGTGAAAACTGTTTGTAGTAATTTCACTTAAATTGTGGTGAAGGCAATAAAGGAAATGAAACATAAATGAAGGGAGATCAGAAAATTATATGTGACCTAGGGTGACTAATGTTCTATTGTAATACTATGAAATCGGCACTATTATTCTTTAAAAAAAAAAATCAATATATAGGATTGTGAAGTATGAGTATCTTAGTGAAAGAGAATACAGTATTAGCAGTCTGGAGGAGGAGAAAGGGGACATGGATGTACTATATTTACGGTGCATTAGTACATATATATACAATGACATGCAGTGATAATCTATGCATTGATACTTTCATATATTCTTTTAAAAATGGTTTCACAAATGATTTTGAAACAATGTAGTTTCTGAGATGGGATTCAGTGTTTTCTTTCAGGAAAGCAGTATCAGAATTGCTTATGTTCATCTCAAAGCATTGTTCGCTTTGCACTTGAACTTCGTGCTGCAGATGCTCATCATTAATGGAAAGACTGAGTAAGAATGAAATAGATGTTTGGGTAATTAACATGAATACAAAATCTTTAATAAAGGAGACTAAGTAATAATAATTTATATTTATAAAGCAGGATAGGGTAGAAACCTGACTGAACTTTCTTTGTTGTGGTTCTTCCTAATAAATAACATAGTTTTAAGAATGTCTTATCCTCTTAAAGAACTAAGCAATTTTCTTGACATCAGACTGTGATTATATACGTAGTCTATCATTGTTAGTATCATGTACTCATTAGTGTGCAATAGGAAGAGTAAGTTTGGCCTTTTTGTTGTTGTTGTTTTCAGAAACATGTAGTGGGCTGGAAAAAGCCATTTTAATTTGAATGCCGGAATTATCTTGACTTAAAAATTCATGATGAAATTACACAAGAACTTTCATTTGGATGTTAGGGATGGAACCTTCATTCTCTGTATGAGAGTTTTGTGGAGCTTGAAGTGCAGGAAGAGTTCTGGTTGTTAAGGCAGGGTCTGAATTTGTAACGTGAATTCCTCAAGTACATTTTTACAAGATAGTTTACTTGTCAAGATGGAATAAGCTAAGCTACTTAGGGTAAGCTGGAGTAAGTTGATTTGTGTGTGAGCTCTAAGAAAAAATGGTAAGTAAGTGTTCATGCTGCGTGCAGGTCCTAAACAGCTACTGAATTACCTTTTTTTGAAGGTGACTGGCCACCCATAGGGAAGATTTTGCTTGGGTTGGAAGATGTGAATGCTCTCACCTGTCTTTTTGGTGCACTCTTAAGTTCCTCTCTGAAGAATAAAGCAAAAAGACCAACTGTGCCCCTCATTTAGCATGTCCAAATGATACCATTTTCTTGTTTAAACAAAGCAGTCTTGTGGTGTGTCTGATTGCTTCCTGCATTTTTTGAGTCTAATGAAAACTTGAACTTTATTTATTTATTGAGCTTGAAGAATTGCATCCTGATGTCAGAGAAGGGACAGAGATCACAGAGAATATTGTACTTGTCAGTCTTAAATAGAGACCGGAGAACACTTGTGGTCAAAGGCCCTGTTTGGCTCACGTAGGGAGGAGGTGGATTTGTCTCCCCAGTCATTTGCCTGTTTTCTTCAGGTGGAAATTGATTCTTTGTGCTAAAGTCTTTGACTGTGGTTTAGTTTGCAGTCTTTGCACCATCTTGGTAAACAAAGTTACAGCTTAATTACATATCTTTATAATATCTTCATTCCTCACTGTGTATTTTGAATTCATACCCTAAATGGTTTCTACCTGGGCTTGTATTCAATGATACTAGAACTAGTATGTTTTCAAATGTGACTTTGTACCAGCCATCGCTATAGTCCAACTGCCGCAGTTGTGTTGGGGAACTTTGGGGGGTGATTGATCACAGATTCCTCCCCGGAGCTGACTGTGGACCAGCTGGCCTGTTTCCAAAATGTTTGAACTGGTTTTGTGAGCCACAAAGATGTGTTGAAAAGCTCATTAGCTAAACTTTTAAAATTGTTTCTTCGTTTAGTCTATATCAAATGTTGTGTTTGATATGGATGTTTAGAGATATGTTGAGAAACTGAAAAATGCCATTAAAAAAAGTTGGTTTAGAGAAGAAGTGCCTTTTTTATGCTTCCGGGAGTGAATTTGTCTTGTCTAAACAAATGCACGGATTTGCATGGTCAGCTGAAAGTCTGCATTGTAGACTGACTTGTATAAAGGAAAAACAGATCTGTGACTAGCCCTGCTGGAAATGAAGAATAACCTCAATAATATAAAGACTACCATCACGTGTTATGTTAGATATTCTTGTGCTTTTTGCTGGATAGTTCTTCATGCTGGTTCTTTTCATCTGTAGATCTGCATCTGTTCCAGCCTGTCTGGAGTAAAAACAGGAACTTGCATTGTCCTCTAAAAATTTTTTTGTTTTGTTTTTTTTTTTTCCCCTTCTAGTGTTCTAAGCTTCTTTCAGATACAACAGTAATCCAGTTTTATCCAAGCAAATTTGTTTTAATTACAGACATCCTTGACACTTTTGGTAAGTATCTAATGTGCCAGGCTTACTACGTAATTGTTAGTAAGATGAAATTGTTTTTTTGTGATGTTAGAAAACATCAAAGTTATCCAAAAAGTGCTGAAATTACTCTCAGTTTTAACACAGAATATTTCCAACATAAGCATTTGGACACCAGTGGTATAGGTGTGGTATATAACTGTTCAAAAACTCTGATAAATGAAGTCTTTAACATAAAAAAGTTTCATTTTGTTGTTCTACACTTTATGTATTAGGAAATATCTTGAACAAAACCTTGGGAAAAATCATGATCTCTGCATTTTGAAGTTCAAAACACACTGCTGTTGTTATGAAAATATTTTGGGTTTGGCAGCCTCTTGACTCAGTATTTCATTCTATTTATAGTTGAAGAATAGAAGTCAGAAAGTTTTCTTCAGCTGAATAGGGACTATGAAGTGATCAAAATGTAGTTTCTGAATTTTTTAATCTATTTTCATCATTTTTAAATGATCCTTTAAGTCAAATTGTCATCAACTTAATGTGACTCTTGGTTTTCTGCCATGTTATGGAAAAGATTTACGACAGCATTCAAAGCTGAAGGATATTTTGATGTTTAGCAGGATATGCTGTGACATAGATCCAATTGTTTTTTCAGGTCTTGCTTCCTCTTTGTGCTCTTTCCTACTTAAAGTTGCGGAAGATAACATAATATCCAAACTCAGCAAAGGCAGGACACCAGCTGTCCCTTCCTGACCTGTGTGCTGCCTCTGCACCGACGGGAGGCAGATAAAGAAATGTTTTATAGTGTGCGAAGTGCTAAATTCAGATTTAACATTTCATTCTCACTAGAGGGCAGCACAATGTTACCGTTTTAGGAAGTTTCTTCCAGCTGATCTCAACCTGTGTTTGAGGGTTGAGTATATATCAACATCTTGTGTTGTACAGTTCATTACTTCGTTATGAATGATTTTTTAAATTTTTTTTTTCCCTTAAAAGGCAAACTAGTGTATGAAAGAATTCTGTCAATGTGCATGGACAATCGTGTCTCTTTGCCAGGTAACTTTGTGTTTGTTTTTACTGTTCTCCTGGAAAAAAATCGTGTCTGAACTAATTCGTGAAAGGTTAAATAGGACCCATGCTACTTTATTTCCTATGAAAAACGTTCTGATTTGAATTGAGTAATTTCTGGTTTTTAACAGAGTAAAATCTATTGTTTATAGCTTTCACCATTTGCAACGTTGCTGCAAGTTTACATTTTAACTGGGAAGAATATACAGACAAAGCTGAGTGTCTCAGTTTTTGGTAAATAGATGTTTTTGTTGCTACATTGGAAACTATTGATAGTTTTGCTTTAATTAGGGAAGCATTTTGGGAGAAGGAGCAGACTGTCAATATGATCTTTCTCACTTGAGCCCTCTTCATTTTTTCAGTTGAAGTTCTAACACAACGTAAGTTTGATTTGGCGTTTATGGTACAGATGTATATGGAAGTACTTCTTTAGGAAGGCACCAAAACTTTCCATTGAAATTCGGGCTTTTCCTTGCAATTTGGAGTGTATTAAGTACACGTCCTTGAAATATGGAACATTCTTACTCTGTAGTTGGCAGTGCAACAGTACCATTAAGTTAGAGTTAAATCCCTAGGATTTGAGTCAGAAGCCTGAAATGAGGAGATACTTAAATTTGAAATAAACTTACAGAAAATACTTAAAATAAATTTGGTTGTTGCAGCTCTGATGAACTGTTCTTATTAACGAAGGCAGGCAGTTGCTGTAGCATGTCACAATTACTGGGCACAGTCACCCCTGTTCTGGTGAGCGGAGTTCGTGCTGCGGCTGTACAGCTGCCCAGGGCATTGCTGGTGGGAACTTCCCAGTCATCTGTAAAAGTGGGAGGAGAAGGAAAATCTGTGCTGTGCGTGGCAG